TGAGTGAGTGAGAGAGAGAGAGAGAAAGAGAGAGAGAGAGAGATGTTAGATAATAGAGGGTTTGGATGAAAAGAGTAAGAGTGAGAACTTGTTTGTAATACTTTCGTCAGCAATACTAATAGCGAATCCCTAATCGATGTATAGTTTTTAAAATTCCAATGTATACTGAATATGATATACAAAAGCACTATTAATTGTAAGAATGGGCAAAGAATATAAAAATATACACAAAAGTAGCAATGGGGGTATGGAGGTAAGGCATTGGCACACTAGCACTGGTATTAATGCTCTCGCATATGCTTTAGCCGTCGAACAACTTTTTTTTATTAGACTTTGACTACAAAGCCCTCGAAGGCAAATGTTAGCCAAAAAGTAGTAATAAATAAAATTCTTTATATTCTGGACGTATAGTTAAAGGGAAAGTGAAGGGAAAAGTACTGTTCCTTTCGCTGAATAAAAGCTAAGGACAGAATATACCGATTCATATAACGATTCAGTCCACTCTCACCACCACATCAAGAGTTAAAAGACTATCATCACTACTCTTTGCTTACAATTAATTCAATAGTTTGTGTTTTGTTTTCAATTGTGTTTCATATATACTTATCACAGTAAACAATATTATTTTTAAACTCATATATTATATTTAGAAGTTACTTTTTGAAAAGTTTCATCAAAGTTTACAAAAGTTTGATTTAAAGCTCAAAGAGTTTGTATTCAATCGCTTTAAAGTCAAGAATTAGATTCAAATTTTGGAAAAAGTTTTGAGAGAATCCACAGAATCATGGATTCGGATAACAATAACAATGCGCCCAAAGATCTGAATTTTGCCGAAGGCTCTGAAGGTATTTATATTTTTTGAATCTATATACAAATTATATGTAAAAATTATTTTTGAAACATTAAATCAATTAAGAGTTAAATTACCACAAATAAATGATTTAATGATAAGTAATTTAAATGCTTTATAAATAGACAGATATACGTTTCCGACTATTACTATACAGATATTATATTTCAAAAACATATCTACTTTTTGTTTTTTGTCTTAAACATTAAGTCCAAGTCCCTGATGTCTTTCAATCAAACTTTTGCCCTGAAGTGCAGAATAGTTCAGATTAAGTGCAGGAATTATATAACATATTAGTTATAAAAATGAAATTTAAAACAATTTTTAGTACAGTTTACAAATGTGTTTTAGTGGTGAATCTAAAACTTATAGTAAAGATCTTGGTTTTAAAATTCTGCTTATAATAAATGCTGTATAAATATTAGTTATAAAAATGAAATTTAAAACAATTTTTAGTACAGTTTACAAATGTGTTTTAGTGGTGAATCTAAAACTTATAGTAAAGATCTTGGTTTTAAAATTCTGCTTATAATAAATGCTGTATACAGTATATGAATTAGATTTAATGCTTTTTGTTGTTGAATTTATTGATTTATTTATAACTTTTTATTGAGAGAAACTTAATTTATATTATATTAAGAGTTTATAAATAAATAAATAAATAATTCAAAATGACAACAAAAATGAAAGATGAATGGCTTAATGAAATAGCTATCGATGAAAATTGTATGTAAAATAGGGTTTCATTTTAAATTATAAATTTTATTATGCAATAATTGCAATAAAAATAAGTTTTCAAATGACCAAGTACCCTAATAAAATGTTTTTAATAGGGATGAGTACAGCCGTAGACTATGCCCGGCCTGAGACCAGACGAAAGCCCGTTTATGACATGAACGAAGACATTGTCATCAGTGGTATCGCCGGAAGATTTCCCGAATCAGACAATATGGATGAATACGCGAAGAATCTCTTCGACAATATAGATATGGTTACTGAAGATGACAGGCGTTGGCCAATAGGTTAGTCATTGATGTTTGAATAAGTTGTGAAATAAAATTAACACAAATTGCGTGACAATTATGAAGACCTAAACTCGGGAATTGTGGGCAGAAGTGGTAAACTGAAAGAGATCGACAAATTTGATTCAGTCTTCTTCAGTACATTCGGTCTGTTGGCCGATGCGATGGACCCGCAGGCGAGGATCCTCTTGGAGACCACATATGAAGCCATTTGTGACGCCGGTATTAATCCGCAGACATTAAGGGGAAGTCGTACTGGTGTTTATGTGGGCATCAATACAGTGGGTGAGTGTTTGGCTTCAATATGTTTATTAGTTCACTATAACATATCTATAATACATCCTGGTTATTTTAAAGTTTTCAATGGATTATCAAACATTTAATCAAAAATTAGTTATAATAGTGATAAGAGTAATCGATTAGTTAAATATTAAAATATTAGCTTTATTTTCTTAAATGTATATTAAATATGGTTTGTGTCAAATAATTCTCACATAATATTAATAATTATTTCATTTCATTCATTAACTTATAAATAAGGAATTGAAATTAAAATATTAATATAACGCTAAATATAAGAATATTCAAATCTCTTTAATTGCGTTAATTTACTAATAAATGAATACATTTGTCACATTATACTGCATTTAAATGTTGATTATCAGTAATTATTATTTCTGACATATTTCTGTAATATATCTTAAGGCAAAATGCAATCATTTCATTGCCCTTATTATTAATGGAAAGTTTGAAAGCGAGACAAAAACTCGTAACACATCTATTATATCGATTAACTTGTCTTTACATCATATTTATTTCCATTATTTCAAATACAGACTAACTTTTGATAAGCAATCCAAATGATTCCAATGCCAGACAGTATTAGTAGTTTAATTTAAATATATAAATAGTTACTAGACATTAATTAACGAGTAACAATTTTAATCGTGTAATAATCTAACAAATATTTGGCAAATAAAATTTGCATAACATAATAAATTGCGAATTAAAAAATAATTATTCAAGATATTTAAATAGATGAGAGTAACTACGGTATATTTAAAATTACCTTTACAATATTACATGAATATTTGATTTCACCAAATTAATTATGAATCAAGTGGTGATGTATTTTGTAAATTACAATTTTCGAGTATTTGATAGAAAAAAGATTTGATTATAGAGATAAAAATTATTTTATTAGAAATAAATGACTCGTATTTGTATTTAATATGAATTTTATGACAACAACAACAGTCTGTGTTCTCAAATCAATTTAATAGCCATCGTTGCTATGAATCAAATGATTTTGTTTACAATTATTGGAAACTTTATATTTGTTATCAATTTCCGAGAAACCATTATTTGGAAAACATATAAACTATCGATTAAATAACAAATTAGTTCAATTGAAAACAATTCACAATTGTCACAGAAATACAATGATTTTAAAATTGTGTTGGTATATTAAAAATTAGAACAAATTCTTGACTAAAATTCAAACCTTTTTTGATAATCACTTATCAAATAAAACAAGATTTTGTCTCAAATAATAAAAAATAAAAATTCTTACTTTTTACACTTTCTTTAAGAATTGAATTTTTTATTTAGACTTTTAATAGACTTTTAAAAAACTTTGAACTCATAATAAGAGTTATAGTATTCCTAAAAATTGTATTCACTTTTACGATTATGATTATTATAATGGCAACAAAGAATAATTTAAAGCTTTTGAGTGACAATTTAATAGATAGAATAGGAGGGCATACATGAAAGGGAAAGGTATATAACTTAAGTTCATCACTGATCAACGCAAACCAGTTGTAGACATAGTGTCTAACATTGGATCCAACAGATTGTGAGCTAACAATAGTAGTGTTCATCAGAAATATTTATGAAAAGGCAAATGACAACTAAAATATGATAAATAAATGTAAATACATTATTAGTCTATTGAATTATTTATGTTCCAATGGGTCAGTAGTTTAATGGAGAATTCAAGTGAAGTATACATTTTAAATGCATTGCATAATATTTATTGACTATTGAGTTGAGTGCAAAATAATTTGTTTAATAAATGATTGGATAATTGGGAGCTATAAAAAGATTTTTGCACTCAATATCCGTCAATTAAGTTTTTTGTATAATAAACTTTTTATGAATTTATTGAGTGCTTATCATTTGATTAGCAGATCAGTGAATATTAAGAGAAATATCAAATTACATGTTTAAGGGCTTTTGTTTTATTGTGATCTGATGTGAAGGTTTCTCATCATTCATGTAGTGATGCAGAACTCCGAGTACTTAATGTGACTTTAGGTGTAGTATTGCTGTCTATACTGTATATAAAATAACAATATTTTTTATGTCAGATATTCTTGACTCTATATCCAAGGTTAATCTCATCAATTAAATTAACTTCACCGTTAAATCAGTGTGGAAATATTATGTTTCAATGTCCGAAAATTTAAATGTGATTTTTTTGAATCTCATTTGTATGATAGTATCGTTTACCACAAACACAATAATAGCACTCCAGGGGGTCGGCTATTCTTTGAGTGCGAAAGTACTTTACATCTGAGCAGACAATCTAGTACACTCAGTACATTATTTGATTTCACCATGAGATAATAGAAAAAATTTACCTTTTTTAATGGACTAATTAAAACTCCACTCGTTTAATACTTTTTTAAATGGATAGCCAGAAGTATCCGTACTTTTAGTGCTCTACGGAAAATTCATTGCATTTTATCATTATTTTACTTTTGTCTTGTGATTCAGTCTTTGATATTCAATTTAAAACCCAAAATAGTTTTCAGAGTCTTTTCGGCTGTCAATCTCTGGGAACAATACATGCATTAAAACAACAGTTAAAATAACGTTCACTTTATTTGTCAGATCTGTCTGTAGATAAGGGAAAACTTTAATCAAAATGACTTCTAATAAATCTTATGACATGTTTGTTGTTTGAGACTTTAATCTGTTTTCATCAGTGATTTTTCATTTCAATTTGAATTAACGCCAACTATTATTTGGGTAAAAAGATTATGTATAGAAAATAAAAAGAAGATTATAGTGTATAGTATTTATTATTAGTTTTTATGTATTTTACGTAACTATACATACATTTTGAGATTTCCATGAAATCTGTTAATAAATTACAAGAATCGTTACGTTTAATTGCAATGCAATAATTAAAATACAAAAGCAAGAAAACAGATTAAAGAGATTGTAATGTTATTTAAATAATTAGAATATTTCTAATATAAAAAATGGGAAATACAAATTTATAGAAAAGTTGTATTTTGGATGGAAATTTTTAATAATTTGTTTTTTTGGAAAGTTTTGTTAAGTTTATAATTATATTTTCAATAAAAATAATTTTATTAACACGTGTTGATTATTGGCTTATCAAAAAACTTAATAATAATAGGACTTATAATAAAATTGTTAACTCTCAAACACATTATTAGATCATATTAACCTTGTTAGTGTAAAATCTAATTAATTAGATTTCATTTATTATGCAAACAATTAAATGCAAAATAAAATATTGATAAATATTAAAAATAGTAAATATGAAAACACAATAAAATAGATAAAATAACTTCCCTTTAAAAAATACAATTAAAGGTATAATTAATTACATTATTACTTTTAAAAAGTATTTTCGTGCATAATTTAATTCATATTTCAAAAAATATAGTCTAACATAAATTTAAAAATTAAAGCAAGCGCCAATTCTGGTGATAAATTATATAATAAACAAATTAAAACGTTTCGTAAATGTAGAAAAATGTATAAGTTTTGCATACGAGGGGAACAAACAAACAAAATTTCGTTACATTATATATGAACTCAAATAGACCCTGAATCTGGCAAACTGTAGAAAAACTCACGAATTGATTCATAAAACTAAAAAACTTTCAAAAAACTAATTATAAACTCAATTAACACGACTCCTTGTGTCCAAAGCGTGTGCCGACGGATACCCGCAGAACGACTTCGATGACTGTCGCCGGAAGGAGGCGGCCCTCTGGGTGTACGGCACGTCCAAAGCCCTGTACGCCAACAGAATCTCGTTCATGTTTGACCTCCACGGCCCGTCCACCCTCATCGACACGGCCTGTTCCTCATCGATGGTGGCCCTCCAGAACGCGGTCGCGGAGATGAGGACCGGCAACTGCGAGATGGCGATCGTGGGCACCGGGAACCTGGTTCAGGCGCCCTTCTCCAACCACGTCTACACCTCCATCGGACTGTTAGCCTCCGACGGCAAGTGTAAGGTGTGGGACAAGAGGGCCGACGGTTTCGTGCGGTCAGAGACTGTGGGCTGTCTTCTACTGCAGCGCCGATCGCAGGCTAAGAGAGTGTACGCGACGGTCGTTCACGCGAAGACCAATACCGATGGATTCAAATCCATTGGTCTCTTCTCGCCGTTTTGGTTACGACAGAGAGATCTCATGATTGAGACCTACGAGGAGGCGGACGTCGACCCCCAGGAAATTAAGTTCTTTGAATCGCACGGCACCGGCACTAATGTGGGCGACCCTCAGGAGGCCAAAGCCATTGCCGACGCCTATTGTAAAGATAGAAAAGTATTGGAAATGATTTTATTGATGTGTTTAATATAAGTTTACTGATTGTCTCAATGCCTGTCCCATAGGAACCGTTACTCTTGGGTGCGGTTAAGAGTAATTTGGGTCACTCTGAAGGCTCGTCCGGTCTGAACTCAATCGGAAAAGTGATTGTCATGTTTGAGAACAAGACTATTCCGGCGAACCTCCACTTCCAAGAGGCCAAACCTGAGATCGAAGTCGTGGTCAATAAGACACTGCAGCCGGTGCTGAAGAACACCGCCTTTGACGGCGGAATCGTTGGCGTCAACTCTTTCGGTGTGGGCGGAGTGAACGCACACGCGTTGCTCAAGTCGTGGGACAAGGAGTTGGATCCCGACGCCCACAAAATCATTGATCCCATCCCCCGACTCGTCAACGTCTGCGGCAGAACTCAAGAGGCAGTCAATCATATCTTTGACTTCATTGAGCAAAACCCGGAGAAAGTAAACCGCGAGTTCTTGGCACTGATTGGCGAACCCATGAAATCTCAGGCGCCTAAAGGGTCGGCAGGTTTTCCCTACAGAGGGTATATGATCGTGAAGGAGGACACCCTCGAAGACGGGACCAAACAATTGAAATACAACCGAACCATCAATAATGCCGGTATGACATCAAAAACTTTAATACTTTAGGATTTTACTGGATACTCATATTTGTTGGTGGCTGTCCAGCGAGCTCAGTCTTGACCGAGACGAAGAGTCCTTACCCGTCAGTCACCTGTCCATACCGCGCTGGTAACTACGTTTAGGGGTATAAACGACTTAGGGACGCGCGCACACGCCTACGCCTCAAACCATTGAACTTTGATCTCATGAACCTATTGCTGAGCGATGACAGGGAAGAGCTCAAGAAGAATGTGACGAATCCTTTTGTGGCCATCACTGCTATGCAAATCGCTTTATACGACTTGTTGTGTCTTTTGGGCATTCAATACGAGGGCATAATTGGCCACTCGTTTGGTGAAGTCGCCTGTGCTTACGCTGACAAATGCCTGACCCGAGAGCAGGCAATACTTACCTCTTACTGGAGAGGAAAGATTGTCGAATCCGCTAAACTTCCTCGAGGTATGGCATCTCATGTCTGAGAATTAATTTCTGATTGGAATGTGTTATCCATTGACAGGAATGTTGGCGGCGGTGGGCCTGTCGTGGGAGGACACCATCAGACGCTGTCCCGATGGCATTGTGGCCGCGTGTCATAATGGATCCGATTCAGTGACAATCTCCGGACTGTACGACAATATGCTTAAGTTCATCGATCAGTTGAAATCGGAGAACGTGTTCGTGAGGCCTGTAGCGGGCGGTGACTTCCCATATCACAGCCCATTCATGAACTTAGTTGCGCCCCAACTCTTGGCCCAACTCAACAAAGTAATTCCCGACCCAAAGATGCGGTCAGAGAAATGGGTGACCACTTCGACCGCCGAAGACAAACTCAATGACGTGACCGCAAAGTTTGCTTCTGGTATGGATTCAATTGTTCATGGTGCTAATCTATGAATACAATAATTAATTAAACTTTTTTGTGTACTATTAAAGGCGAATACTTCACGAATAACCTGATCAGTCCGGTGCTGTTCAACGAGGGCATGAGACAAGTGCCCAAATACGCCAATGTCATCGAAGTGGCCCCTCATTCGCTGTTTGAGTCCATATTCAAGCGGTGTTTCTCGTCCCTCACCTACTCTGGTCTCATGAAACGCACAGAAGCCGATAATTTGGACTACTTTTTGTCATCAATCGGTCAAATGTATTGTTTGGGTATTAACCCTGACATCGAGAATCTGTACCCGAAAGTGGAGTTCCCGGTCTCGCGGGGCACCCAATCGTTCTCATCGCTCATCAAATGGGACCACAAGTCGTCCCATGAAGTCCGCAAATTTCCCGAATACCACAACTATGGCACCGCATCTGACTATACCATGAAGTTCTCGATCACAGACGCCGACTGGTCTTTCCTCAAAGACCACGCCATCGACGGCCGCATCCTATTCCCGGCCACCGGTTATCTGATGCTCGCGTGGCGTCGATTCGCTGCCTTGAGATCCCAGCCGTGGAAGAAGACTCCTATAGTGTTTGAAAACGTCAGGTAATTATCGACTAATAATGCGGTTTTAGATTTGATTCAATTGTTAAAACTGTGATTTATTTTGAAAAATAGATTCTTTAGACCAACACTTCTATCGGAAGGAAATGAAGTGAAATTTACAGTTAAAATACTGGAAGGAACGGGAGATTTCACTATATCTGAGGGCAATCAGATCGCAGCCACTGGTAAAGTGTATTCGCCTGAAGATGGGATGTTTGAATTTCAGGACCAATTGGAGGCAGACGTTGATGAAGAGGACGATGAGGACGATCTCAAAGAGATTCTCGGAAATAAAGACATCTATAAAGAGCTTAGAATTCGTGGCTACGATTACGGACCAAAATTTCAGGGTTTGGTTGAGGCCAGGGGTGACGGCAGGAAAGGAAAAGCCAAATGGACTGACCATTGGGTCAGTTTCGTGGACTCAGTTATGCACTTGGCTTTGATGGCACTTCCCATACGCACACTATTCATCCCAATTGGTTTCCAACGCATTGTCTGCGATCCCAACGTCTTATTCGCGGCCATAGAAAAGGCGAAGAAGTTGGAGGACAAGGAACAGATCTTCGAAGAGACCAATGACTTTTTCTATTTCAACGAAAGCACTCGCAAGAAGTACGACGACAAGAAGTTGGGACAACACACAGAAACCGATGGTTTCAGTCCCGGAGAAATGATGGTCAATGAGTTCGGCAGCAATCTAGAGGAAGACGAGAAGAGAGAGACAAGTAATGTGATTGCCGATAATATTAAGGCCACTCTTAAAATGGGCGAAGAGTCCATGGCTTCAGAGTTCTTAGGAATCTCTAACTTAGCCCTTGAGAAGAATCCGGACGACGAGGGAAAGGTATCTATAGTTCCCGTCGGCTTTGATCTCGACTGCAGATCTATTTATACAAAAGGTTTGCAAATATTTATTTAATTTGTTTAGCGGACATTTATAATTCATTATATGATTTTGTTGTTAAGGTCTTGAAATTAAAGGCTTCCTTCCGGTGAACGTCCCGCGAAGACCTGGACAACAGGGACTCGTTCTCGAGAAGTATGAGTTTGTGGCCAACAATGAGGATAATGTGATCGAATCCGCAGATAAGAAGAGTTTAGTCGAATACATACAGGTTTGCTGTGCTTTAGGTCAACGACTCACCGAAATGAGTCCCAAAGTGAACAAACTTACGATGAATGGCTATAAGTTTGCCGACGAAGAAGTGGTTCAGAAGTATGTCAACCGAAAGGAGAACTCACAGGAGGCCACAAATCACGTGTTGTTGCGAGTGATCAACGAGTTGTCGGCCCTTAAGATCGATGACAACAGCAATATAATTGTGGGCAAAGACGACAACCAACAAGTGGTTGAGTTTGATGTGGCGCTCAAACAGATCTTTGGTAAACCCGAGAACAACATAACTCTTGATTATATCAATTCAATGGCTGCCAATGAAAGATTGATCCGACCCTCACTTGATTTGGTTCTGGAGAACAGCTTTGAAAAGAATCTGAAGGTTCTTGAGATCAATCCCAACAACAACTTATTGGCGCAAACTATTATCAATACATTTAGACACTCGTCCATATCTGTTATGAACTTCGACTACACTGTTGCCAATCCGATGCCATCAACACTTCCTGATGACGTGAAGAGTTTGGGTTTCAAAATGCTTGAATGGGATCTCCAAAACTCTAATAACTTCATTAAAGATGTGTCTTCATTGGATCTATTAGTGCTTAAGACAAACAATTTTGTGGTCAATAATTGGAATATTAAGGAACAAATCAAATCATTCAAAGATTGTGTTAAAGTATGTGCTGTTTTCCAATTAAACTTGAATTTATCAATGAATTTATGATTGA